GAAAGAGGGGGAGGCCTTCAACGAGATGGATTGATACGGTGGCTGCGATGATGGGCTCAAGTATAGCAGGGATTGTGGGGCTGGCGTGGGATCGGGCAGTGTTTCGTTCTGCTGTGCATGGGGTCGCTATGAGTTGGAAACGACTCGACGGCACTTAACAACAACAACAACAACAAGGTTCAAGAGCAAGTTTGAATCTCTTCTGACATCCATTTTGGCCTTTTCTTTCTTTCCTGTCTTTTTAACGACCTTTTCCTTTCTTCTTGTATGATGTCTTTGATGTCTCCCAAAACTTGTCTGGTCTTCGGTCATTGGTATTCAATACATTGAATCTATTCTTCAAATGGCCTCTAAATTCAGATGGGATATAGTCTGAATATAAGGTTGTATTTTGGCTATCATGGACTTGCATTAATTTTCTTTCAACTTGAACTTGCATGTAGACAAATGATGGTCTCTTCCTCAGTTGGCCCTGGGCCTTTTTCTGATGGGTGATATTGAGCTTCTCCATCCTCTCTTCCCACAGATGTAATAAGTTTGATTCTTGTGTATTCCATCTGGCACGGTCCACATGTATAGTTGCCATTTATGTTGTTGAAAAAGGTATTTGGAATGAGTAAGTCATTGGTCTGAAAATTCTATTATACAGTCTGTTTTATCGTTCCTGTCACCAAAGATGTATTTTTCAACTACTGATTCTTCTTGTTTCCAACTTTTGCATTCTAATTACCAATAATTACCAATGCATCTGGATTGCATATTTGGTCAATTTCAGACTGCAGAAGTCAATAAAAGTCTTCAATTTCCTCGTCTTTTGCTTTGGTGGTCGGTGCATAAATTTGAATAATAGCTGTATTAACTGGTCTTCCTTGGAGGCGTATGGATATTATCCTATCACTGACACCATTGTACTTCAGAATAGATCTTGAAATCCTCTTTTTGACAATGAATATGAAACCATTCCTCTTCAGTTTGTCTGTCGTTCCTGGCATAGTAGACCATGTGACTGTCCAATTCAAAATGGCCAGAACCAATCCATTTCAGCCCACTCACACCTAGGATGTTGATCATTATTATTAATATTCATACTTGATACATTTTCAGTGCTTATTACTAATGGATGTTTGCAGCTGTTTCTTCCCATTTTGAATCGTGCCACATCACATGCCCAGAAGCTTGACTCCATCCACGTCATTAACGTATTTGGAGGGCTTTACAACCTTGGGCTCACCTCCCAGCGCTGCATCGGACCGTGTTCCCCTGCTATTCACAAGGCACAAGGTCATCACTCACCAGGTTTTTCAGGAGGTCTCCAGTTCCTTCTTCCTAGCATGTCTTAATCTGGAAGCTCTGCTGAGGCCTGTCCACCAGGGGTGGCCTTCTGCTATGGTCCACTAGCTTCCAACATCACAACCACACAGCCACCACAGTAGACAAACTGTTTCTATAAAAACCTGAAACCATCTTAAAGTTGCAAATAAGTTGCATATGTACACAAAGCACTACTCAAGTCTAAGTTGCTGATGTCGTCCAGAACGCTTTGGTATATTCTTCCTGAAAATGAGGACAGCCATCGGAGTTAGGACATGAATCCCGGTGCCATCTGGTCCTCTAGTCTCCACCGTGTAACACTTCATACTCCCGGCCACTGCACATGCAGCATCTCAGTGTGGCTGTGACGTGCCCCGGTCACTGCATGAGAGGTCTCTCACTGTGACTGTGACGGGCCCTGGTCTCTCCATGTGCAGTGTCCCACTGTGGCTGTGATGGGCCCTGGTCACTGCATGAGAGGTCTCTCACTGTGGCTGTGATGGGCCCTGGTCTCTCCATGTGCAGTGTCCCACTGTGGCTGTGATGGGCCCTGGTCACTGCATGAGAGGTCTCTCACTGTGGCTGTGATGGGCCCTGGTCTCTCCATGTGCAGTGTCCCACTGTGGCTGTGACGGGCCCTGGTCACTGCATGGGGGTTCTCTCAGCATGTCTGTGACGTGCCCCGATCACTGCACACTTAGTGCCACAGTGTGGCTGTGACATGCTCTGTTTGCCCATCCCCGGGTAGGGCTTGAGGAGACCCTGCCAAAGCTTCCATCTGCTAGTCCCCGACCCATGGCTTCACCATCAGATGAGTCTAAAATTGAGGGCCCTTTGAAATGGGAATGAATTAATGTCCTGTCTTACTTTGCTTCCAAACCTTCCAGTGTTGGCATCGTTGCCTGCCCTGGCGGTCCCACCCTCCACCCCCACCAAAGCCATGTCCCCCACAGTGGCCAGTGGGCTGGAGATGTCGGAGCAGCGGAGCTGGCTGTACCTGGAAGAGATGGTTACCTCCCTGCTCAACACGGCACAGCAGCTGAAGGCCCTGTTTGAACAGGCCAAACAGGCTAGCTCCTACCGAGAAGCCGCCGCGGCCCACGCCAAGGTCCAGGCGGACACAGAGAGAAAAGAGGTATGACCAGTGTGGATGTGCATGCAGTCGGTGCTCCTCCCCCAGTGTCCTTGGCTGGCTCCTGCCTCAGGCATGTGGCAGCTGCTGGTGCCTATACCAGATGTGGGGAGTCAGCGACATGGATGAATAGTGACACAGGCTGTTGGTTGGGTATCTGTTTTCATTAAGTAACTGGTTTATTTCAAAAGGAGATAATTTTTATACCAGTTAGACTATTTCTCAGCACCCCACTGTTACGGATATTCTTCATCCCTGCAGGTCCTCTCTGTGCAGGTCCCCACCACGTGCAGGTTGTTGCCATGTGGTGAGAACAAGCCTTGCATTGGTTCTGTTTGGAGGATAATCATTTGGGGCCATTGGGTGAAGTGCATCTGGTGTCTTCACTGGTCCCCTTCCTTGTAGCTGTGCTGTCCCCTTCTGCTACCTGAAAGCACCACTGAGCCTGTCTCCTCATCACCATGGGGAGCTGTTGTGAGACTTCAAGCTCTGGGTTCTGGAACATTCTGCAGTAGGGTCATGAACCGCAGTTCATCAAGATTCACAAAGCATTGTGCTATAAACTTTTTCCTGTGGCTTCGTATTGTCGCTGCTGTTGTTGTTAGGTGCTGTTGGGTCATCTCCGACTCATAGCAACCTTACGTACCTTACGTACAACAGAACAAAACACTGCCTGCGCCTGTACCACCCTTACAGGCCTGGCTACAACCTTACGTACAACAGAACAAAACACTGCCTGGGCCTGTACCACCCTTATGGGCCTGGCTACAACCTTACGTACAATAGAACAAAACGCTGCCTGGGCCTGTACCACCCTTACGGGCCTGGCTATATCTAAGCTCACCGTTGAAGCCACTGTGTCAGTCCATCTTGTGGAGGGCCTTCCCTTTTTTTTTTTTGGTTGGCCCTCCACTTTACCAAGCATGATATCCTCCAAGGAGTGGTTCCTTCTTACAACATGACCAAAGCAGGTGAGACAAAGTTTGTCCATTCTTGTTTCCAAAGAGCATTCCAGCTGCACTTCTTCCAGGACAGATTTGTTAGTTCTTTTAGCAGTCCATGGTACTCTCAGCATTCTTCACCAACACTACAACTCAAAAGCATAAATTCTTTGGTCTTCCTTATTCATTGTCTAGCTCTCACATGCATAAGTTGTTGTTGTTGCTGTTGTTGTTGTTGTTGTTGTTGTGTGCCATCAAGT